GGAGTAGCGCGCAACTACAGCATCGTACAGTGTCTTAGCAGTTCTGTGCTGGCTGAAATGCGCTCGCTCAGTAATCTGCAGGTGGTTCCTAATAGCTAGGCGTGCAGCAGCATCACGAGTCTGCCACTGGGAGCGTTCTAGAGCAGGAGCATCAGCAGTAGGAGCAACGGCAGTGCCAGAGACGTAATCAAACAGGGAAACGCCATCTTTGGCATCAGTCAGAAGGAACAGCTGGAGATCGTCTAACCATACAGTGAACTCGATGGGACGAGCGTCAGGCTCGAACGCTAGAACGTTAGGCGTCGCCATATTGGCTTAAGGCAGCAGGCAGCAGGCAGAGGCAGCAGGCACCAGGAAGGAGGCAGGAGGCAGAGGCAGGAGGCAGGGGCAGCAAGCAGCAGGCAGGCAGCAGGCAAGCTGCAGGCAGGCGGCAGCAGGCAGCAAGCAGGCAGGCAGGCAAGCGGCAGGCAGGCGACAGCAGGCAGCAGGCAGGCAGGTAGGCTGCAGGCAGCAAGCAGGCAGGCGGCAGCAGGCAGGCACCAGGCAGGTTGCAGGCAGGCGGTATCAGAATCCTAGCGTGAGTTTGGCTTAGGAGCCATAGTTTAGGAGCCTTGGTAGTTGAGTTCGAGTTTAGGAAAAGTATCGAGAGGTTTGGAAGGAGAGGAATGAGGTTTCACTAGCAAGAGTTAGGATACAAGTACAACACCCTAAATTGGGTTGTACTCATTACAGAGTACCCCACTGCAGGCTAGACAGCAAATACATTCTGACACACCCCCATAGCCAAAGTGGGGTGTAATCAGCACAATGAGCAAGCATAGAGCAAGAGTTCACAATAGGTAAGTAAGGCTAGAGCTAATCACAGAGGGCAAGTGAGGAGGAGGAGAGACTGTGGGGGAGAGAAGATGGGAGGCGACTGCTGACGCTGCAGACACACAGACGAGCTGCTGGCTCAGTGGCTACTGGAACAGCGCTCCGGACTACTGGGGTAACTGGCCCCGCGGCTAAAAGTAGCGGCAGACGAGCAACGGACCCACGGGCGACTGGCGACTACCGGAGATTGTAGCCTCCGGACTGCTGCTGCTGCTGACGACAAGACTGCTGCCTCCACTCGACCTCCCCAGCTGCCTAACGCCCTTCTCACACACCCCCTGCTCAAACCCTAGCCCTACACCCACAGCACCCCCTTAAACCCTAAACCCCAGACTCCCACACATCCACCCCCCTCAGCGAGAGCTGCAGCAGTGGGAGACGAAGGAGGAGGAGGAGGAGGGAACGGCACGCACAACCGACACCCCCACAACCATCACCCCCACACCCACCCCCCCACGGCTGCACCGGGTCCAGGAGCGGCTGCTGCAGGGGCCAGGGGCGGCTGCTGCTGGGGCGGCTGCTCCAGGGGCTGCTGCTGCTGGGGCGGCTGCTCCAGGGGCTGCTGCTGCTGAGGCGGCTGCTCCAGGGGCTGCTGCTGCTGGGGCGGCTGCTCCAGGGGCTGCTGCTGCTGGGGCGGCTGCTCCAGGGGCTGCTGCTGCTGGGGCGGCTGCTGCTGGGGCGGCTGCTCCAGGGGCTGCTGCTGCTGGGGCGGCTGCTCCAGGTGCTGCTGCTGCTGGGGCGGCTGCTCTAGGGGCTGCTGCTGCTGGGGCTGATGCTGCTGGGGCGGCTGCTCCAGGTGCTGCTGCTGCTGGGGCGGCTGCTGCAGGGGCTGCTGCTGCTGGGGCGGCTGCTGCTGGGGCGGCTGCTCCAGGGGCTGCTGCTGCTGGGGCGGCTGCTCCAGGGGCTGCTGCTGCTGGGGCGGCTGCTCCAGAGGCTGCTGCTGCTGGGGCGGCTGCTCCAGGGGCTGCTACTGCTAGGGCGGCTGCTTCAGGGGCTGCTGCTGCTGGGGCGGCCGCTGCAGTGGCGGCGGCTCCAGGGGTTGCTGCTGCTGGGGCGGCTGCTCCAGGGGCTGCTGCTGCTGGGGCGGCTGCTCCAGGGGCGGCTGCTGTTGCAAGGCAGGCCGCTCCAGGGGCGGGTGCTTCAGGGGCGGCGGCTCCAGGGGCGGCTGCTGCAGCGGAAAGTAGGAGGGAGGGGAGGGGAAGGGCGCGGCCCCCATTGTGCCCTGACGGGCGATGTGCTAGGGAGCCGCGCAGGTCCCCAAAAGTGCCTCGACTGGCAACGAGAGGGGACCGCGCGCAGGCCCCTAAGGCGCCGCGACGAGGCAACGGGAGGGGCCGGCTCGCGGGCCCCGAAAGTGCCGCGACGAGGCGACGGGAGGGACCTGCGTGCAGGCCCCCAAAACGCCTCGACGAGGTGACGGTCGGGGCCAGTGCGCGGGCCCCTAAGACGCCGCGACGAGGTAGGAACCCGCCGCGCGCCTCGGGGCGCACGGCGGGCAGAAAACCGCCACGCGCTCCGAGCGCGTGGCGGGAAGAAAAATGGGATGTCGCGTGCCACGGGGCGCGCGACACACAGTAGGGCAGCGGAATCGAGTGGGCCCACAGGCCAGGAACGTTAAGCTCTGATAACATATCAGAATCCTAGCGTGAGTTTGGCTTAGGAGCCATAGTTTAGGAGCCTTGGTAGTTGAGTTCGAGTTTAGGAAAAGTATCGAGAGGTTTGGAAGGAGAGGAATGAGGTTTCACTAGCAAGAGTTGGGATACAAGTACAACACCCTAAATTGGGTTGTACTCATTACAGAGTACCCCACTGCAGGCTAGACAGCAAATACATTCTGACAGGCGGCAGCAGGCAGCAAGCAGGCAGGCAGGTAGGCTGCAGGCAGCAAGCAGGCAGGCGGCAGCAGGAAGGCAGGCTGCAGGCAGTAAGCAGGCAGGCGGCAGCAGGCAGGCAGCAGGCAGGCTGCAGGCAGGCGGCAGGCAGGCGGCAGCAGGCAGCAAGTAGCAGGCAGGCAGCAGGCAGGCAGCAGGCAGGTTGCAGGCAGGCGGCAGCAGGCAGCAAGCAGGCAGGCAGGTAGGCTGCAGGCAGCAAGCAGGCAGGCGGCAGCAGGCAGGCAGCAGGCAGGTTGCAGGCAGGCGGCAGCAGGCAGCAAGCAGCAGGCAGGCAGCAGGCAGGCTGCAGGCAGGCGGCAGCAGGCAGGAGCGGCCTGAGGACTGCGTGAGGTTGCTGGCTGCGTGTGGCGGCTTGCTGCACGAGGCTGCAGGCTGCGCGTGGCTACAGGCAGCGCGCGCGGCCGCAGGCTACGTGCGGCGACGGACTGCGCGAGCTGCGGGCTGCTTGCAGCTGCGGGCTGTGCGTGGCTACAGGCAGCGTGCGCGGCTGCAATCTACGTGCGGCTGCGGGCTGCGCTGGGCGACGGGCCGCACGTGCGCGGCTGCGGGCTGGTCGCTAAGCTACGGGCTACGCTGGGCGACGGGCCGCGCTGGCGTGGCCTAATCAGGTTTCGCACGGGCGGCTTAAGGGGCGCACAGGCGGGGCCGAAACGGGCTACGCGGGCTGCTTAGACGGCGCACGTGGGAAAAAAAAAGGACCGCCCGAGGCGCGCGCGGGCAGCCGAGGCGCGCGTAGGCACTAGACAAGACAGGCAATCGTGGTGGGCCCTAATCCTAGGTCCTAAGGACCTATGCTCTATACTGTCAGTAGATCTGCACTGTGGATGCCCGATTGATCCTGGAGAGGGTTACAGGCGCGTTCGCCTGGGGGGTTATGGGCGCACTGACCGCTACTGAAACAAGCCCTTTTATCCCAATGGTCTAGTGGTTGGGATTCTGACATGGTATCAGAGCGGTCTCGGGTTCGATTCCCGGTGTATGCACATGTAGGCCGTTGCCTCTGTGCTTAGTCCTGGGCCTCCCATTGTGGGGGGGTGTCAGTAGATCTGCACTGTGGATGCCCGATTGATCCTGGAGAGGGTTACAGGCGCGTTCGCCTGGGGGGTTATGGGCGCACTGACCGCTACTGAAACAAGCCCTTTTATCCCAATGGTCTAGTGGTTGGGATTCTGACATATACCATGTTAGAATCTTACGGGAAAGAGATGGTTTCGACTATCGAGAGGGTTGGTACAAAGTGAAAACCCAAGGGGTTGTACCCCACAGTGAGTACCCCACTAAGCCTACCCAAACTATAACATATATATACATATGTTTGACACCAAAACCTCCCCGAATACAAGATAACCCAAGCATTTTTTCTAGTGTACGAGATAAGACATATATGTGTTATATCCGGGCGATGACGGTACCGTCAGCCCCCGGATGGAAGCGCCTCTAGGGGTATAAAAAAACAGTGTTTTTTAGGGGGTGCGCTTATAATCGAGGAATTTTATAAGCGCCAGCGTTTATAAAATGGCAAAAAATATTTCTATCTGTTTTACACCAAACTGTAGATCTCGTTCTGCCGATTGTAATCGAGTCGAAAACATATGGGGTCACGAATCTGATTCTCGCGCAGCTTGGAAGGGAGTGATTCCCTGCCAACTCAAACTGACAGAATGACAGCACATGCTGACTAGACGCGCAAAAGGTGAGATCAGAGTGTGGGAAATCTGGTTTGTAGTTCGTTTCCCTGATAATGTGAAATTGGTTTCTGTATTTCGTCAGGTTTTCAAATGAAAAAACAACATGCGCTTATAATAAATCATCTTTTTTTAGGGGGTGGGCTTATAATCGAGGACCGGATATAAGCGTCGTCATCCTTTTATAAGCGCCGGCGCTTATCCGAGGCCTGCGCTTCTATCCGGGGGCTTACGGTATGTAACTCTGCATGTGAATTGGCCTTGTGGCCATTTGCTTGTGCTCGGAATGTGTGGTGACTTCGTGATCCACCCTGAGTTTGCTTTGCTTTTCTTGACTGGTCTTGTGACCACTTGTTCTCCCCCACTTTGCCTATGGGGGTGTATCAAAATGTTATATTACTTATATTGTGTAAGCTGTACTTGGGTAGCCCATAAGGGGTACAACCCAATTAGGGTTAATACTTGTACCAACTTTGTGCTCAATGCATTCATTCTGGTTCAGTTTCTTGACATAGTGTGGTAATTAGGCTTTTGTTTAGTTCTACGCATATCACACAGGGTAAACTATCCGTGTGATCCCTTTATCTAGGTGCAGACGGCAGAGTGACAGCGGCCTGTCCAGGCTTTCAGCACTCTCACACGGCACGCGCTCGCCCTCCTGTGCGCCATGAGGAGCGGCACCCGTGGGTGGCAGCAGTGTGAGTGTGACGTGGGGGACGCGCTCGAACATGAGCATAACATGCACCTCCCGGCGCGCCGTACCCCCCCATGCCACCTCCACCACCCGCCTGCCCCCGCTCCCACCGCCCGCCCCGCCTTGCTGCTGCTCGCCTCCCCCCTCTTGCTGCTCTCCTCTCAAGCGCAGCACACCCACTTCAAGCCCCTGCAGAGCATCGTCTCCCATCCTCAGCAGTCTCCTCGCTCTTCTCATTCTCACGTCTCCCTCGTCCTTCCCCTCCCCTCCTGCCCCAGCCCCTCCCTCCTCGTCCTCCTGCGCAGCATCCATCTGAGGAAGATCCTCCACCGCCTCACCCTCGCCCCTCGCCACATCACCATCACCCTCTCCCTGCAGCCCCGCACCCCCCTCCGCCTCCACCTCTCCCTCCCCACCCACACCCCCACCACTCTCGTCCGCCAAGCTGCCACCTGCACCTGCTGCGCTGCTCATCTTCCCACGACCAGCGCCAGCGCCGCCGCCACTGCTGCTGCTGCTACCGCTGCTGGCAGACTCGGCAGAGTGGCCCGGCAGTCCGTGAGCGGCAGGAGTGACGGTGCCCTCATAGCGGTGCGACACTCGCAGCAGCGCACACAACTCTGTGCTGCCGGCCCCGCCCGGCCACAGCTGGATGGTGCGATGGCTGATGGGGGGATACGGGGCAGGCGGGAGCATGGACAAGGATGTATGGCATGACACATGGAGGTGGCCATGCAACAGGCAACACACCATGACCTGGATGCCTGTCCGTCACACCATGACCTGGATGCCTGTCCGTCACACCATGACCTGGATGCCTGTCCGTCACACCATGACCTGGATGCCTGTCCGTCACACCATGACCTGGATGCCTGTCCGTCACACCATGACCTGGATGCCTGTCCGTCACACCATGACCTGGATGCCTGTCCGTCACACCATGACCTGGATGCCTGTCCGTCACACCATGACCTGGATGCCTGTCCGTCACACCATGACCTGGATGCCTGTCCGTCACACCATGACCTGGATGCCTGTCCGTCACACCATGACCTGGATGCCTGTCCGTCACACCATGACCTGGATGCCTGTCCGTCACACCATGACCTGGATGCCTGTCCGTCACACCATGACCTGGATGCCTGTCCGTCACACCATGACCTGGATGCCTGTCCGTCACACCATGACCTGGATGCCTGTCCGTCACACCATGACCTGGATGCCTGTCCGTCACACCATGACCTGGATGCCTGTCCGTCACACCATGACCTGGATGCCTGTCCGTCACACCATGACCTGGATGCCTGTCCGTCACACCATGACCTGGATGCCTGTCCGTCACACCATGACCTGGATGCCTGTCCGTCACACCATGACCTGGATGCCTGTCCGTCACACCATGACCTGGATGCCTGTCCGTCACACCATGACCTGGATGCCTGTCCGTCACACCATGACCTGGATGCCTGTCCGTCACACCATGACCTGGATGCCTGTCCGTCACACCATGACCTGGATGCCTGTCCGTCACACCATGACCTGGATGCCTGTCCGTCACACCATGACCTGGATGCCTGTCCGTCACACCATGACCTGGATGCCTGTCCGTCACACCATGACCTGGATGCCTGTCCGTCACACCATGACCTGGATGCCTGTCCGTCACACCATGACCTGGATGCCTGTCCGTCACACCATGACCTGGATGCCTGTCCGTCACACCATGACCTGGATGCCTGTCCGTCACACCATGACCTGGATGCCTGTCCGTCACACCATGACCTGGATGCCTGTCCGTCACACCATGACCTGGATGCCTGTCCGTCACACCATGACCTGGATGCCTGTCCGTCACACCATGACCTGGATGCCTGTCCGTCACACCATGACCTGGATGCCTGTCCGTCACACCATGACCTGGATGCCTGTCCGTCAGATACCAATTGCCCCTCACATAAGACCTGTGAGAACTAGTTAGAGTCTGCAAAAAACATCTACCCACAATGCAGCACAGTAGCGAATGCACCTGACGTGGGCATGGGAGGGCGCACCTGGGCATGGGAGGGCGCACCTGGGCATGGGAGGGCGCACCTGGGCATGCGAGGGCGCACCTGGCCATGGTAGGGCGCACCTGCCCATGGTAGGGCGCACCTGGGCATGGGAGGACGCACCTGGGCATGCAAGTGACGGAGGGGAGGATGTGAGCGCCACAGGGCACGAGTGTGTCGGTGTGGTCGGGCAGCACCTCCATCACGGCGCCCTCCCTCACAAACACCGCCGCCTCCTCCAATGCCACCGCCACCCCCTCCACCTGCCCTCCGCTGTACCGCCTGCCCGAGAAGAGATGGCGCCAGTGCGGAGTGGATGCTGGGAAGAACACCTGAGAGGGCCGTGGCATGAGGGTGCAGCATGAGGGTGCGGCATTAGGGTGCGGCATGAGGGTGAGGCGTGAGGGTGAGGCGTGAGGGTGTGGCGTGAGGGTGAGGCATGAGGGTGAGGCGTGAGGGTGTGGCATGAGGGTGCGGTATGAGGGTGAGGCGTGAGGGTGTGGCATGAGGGTGTGGCATGAGGGTGTGGCGTGAGGGTGCGGCGTGAGGGTGCGGCATGAGGGTGCGGCGTGAGGGTGTGGCATGAGGGTGTGGCATGAGGGTGTGGCGTGAGGGTGAGGCGTGAGGGTGCGGCATGAGGGTGTGGCATGAGGGTGTGGCGCGAGGGTGAGGTGTGAGGGTGCGGCATGAGGGTGTGGCATGAGGGTGCGGCATGAGGGTGAGGCGTGAGGGTGTGGCATGAGGGTGTGGCATGAGGGTGTGGCGTGAGGGTGCGGCGTGAGGGTGCGGCATGAGGGTGCGGCGTGAGGGTGTGGCGTGAGGGTGTGGCGTGAGGGTGCGGCGTGAGGGTGTGGCATGAGGGTGAGACGTGAGGGTGAGGCGTGAGGTTGTGGCGTGAGGGTGAGGCATGAGGCTGTGTCATGAGGGTGTGGCATGAGGGTGTGGCGTGAGGGTGTGGCATGAGGGTGCGGCATGAGGGTGTGGCATGAGGGTGTGGCGTGAGGGTGTGGCGTGAGGGTGTGGTGTGAGGGTGTGGCGTGAGGGTGCGCCACGAGGGTGTGGCATGAGGGTGTGGCATGAGGGTGAGGCATGAGGGTGAGGCGTGAGGGTGCGGCATGAGGGTGTGGCATGAGGGTGTGGCGTGAGGGTGAGGCGTGAGGGTGTGGTGTGAGGGTGTGGCGTGAGGGTGTGGCGTGAGGGTGTGGCATGAGGGTGTGGCATGAGGGTGTGGCGTGAGGGTGTGGTGTGAGGGTGTGGCGTGAGGGTGTGGCGTGAGGGTGCGCCACGAGGGTGTGGCATGAGGGTGTGGCATGAGGGTGCGGCATGTGGGTGTGGCGTGAGGGTGCGGCATGAGGGTGCGGCATGAGGGTGAGGCGTGAGGGTGCGGCATGAGGGTGTGGCATAAGGGTGAGGCGTGAGGGTGTGGTGTGAGGGTGTGGCGTGAGGGTGTGGCGTGAGGGTGCGGCATGAGGGTGCGGCACGAGGGTGCGGCATGAGGGTGCGGCATGAGGGTGAGGCGTGAGGGTGCGCCACGAGGGTGCGGCATGAGGGTGCGGCACGAGGGTGAGGCGTGAGGGTGCGGCATGAGGGTGTGGCATGAGGGTGTGGCGTGAGGGTGCGGCGTGAGGGTGTGGCATGAGGGTGAGACCTGAGGGTGAGGCGTGAGGCTGTGGCGTGAGGGTGAGGCATGAGGCTGTGTCATGAGGGTGTGGCATGAGGGTGTGGCGTGAGGGTGTGGCATGAGGGTGCGGCATGAGGGTGTGGCATGAGGGTGTGGCGTGAGGGTGTGGCGTGAGGGTGTGGTGTGAGGGTGTGGCGTGAGGGTGCGCCACGAGGGTGTGGCATGAGGGTGTGGCATGAGGGTGAGGCATGAGGGTGAGGCGTGAGGGTGCGGCATGAGGGTGTGGCATGAGGGTGTGGCGTGAGGGTGAGGCGTGAGGGTGTGGTGTGAGGGTGTGGCGTGAGGGTGTGGCGTGAGGGTGTGGCATGAGGGTGTGGCATGAGGGTGTGGCGTGAGGGTGTGGTGTGAGGGTGTGGCGTGAGGGTGTGGCGTGAGGGTGCGCCACGAGGGTGTGGCATGAGGGTGTGGCATGAGGGTGCGGCATGTGGGTGTGGCGTGAGGGTGCGGCATGAGGGTGCGGCATGAGGGTGAGGTGTGAGGGTGCGGCATGAGGGTGTGGCATGAGGGTGAGGCGTGAGGGTGTGGTGTGAGGGTGTGGCGTGAGGGTGTGGCGTGAGGGTGCGGCATGAGGGTGCGGCACGAGGGTGCGGCATGAGGGTGCGGCATGAGGGTGAGGCGTGAGGGTGCGCCACGAGGGTGCGGCATGAGGGTGAGGCGTGAGGGTGCGGCATGAGGGTCTGGCGTGAGGGTGCGGCATGAGGGTGCGGCATGAGGGTGAGGCGTGAGGGTGCGGCATGAGGGTGTGGCATGAGGGTGCGGCATGAGGGTGCGGCATGAGGGTGCGGCATGAGGGTGAGGCGTGAGGGTGAGGCGTGAGGGTGCGCCACGAGGGTGCGGCATGAGGATGCGGCATGAGGGTGAGGCGTGAGGGTGTGGCATGAGGGTGTGGCGCGAGGGTGCGGCATGAGGGTGTGGCATGAGGGTATGGCATGAGGGTGTGGCGTGAGGGTGAGGCGTGAGGGTGTGGCGTGAGGGTGTGGCGTGAGGGTGCGGCATCAGGGTGCGGCACGAGGGTGCGGCATGAGGGTGCGGCATGAGGGTGAGGCGTGAGGGTGAGGCGTGAGGGTGCGGCATGAGGGTGTGGCGTGAGGGTGCGGCATGAGGGTGTGGCATGAGGGTGTGGCATGAGGGTGTGGCATGAGGGTGTGGCATGAGGGTGTGGCGTGAGGGTGTGGCATGAGGGTGTGGCATGAGGGTGTGGCATGTGGGTGTGGCGTGAGGGTGAGGCGTGAGGGTGTGGCATGAGGGTGTGGCATGAGGGTGCGGCATGAGGGTGTGGCATGAGGGTGTGGCGTGAGGGTGTGGCGTGAGGGTGTGGCATGAGGGTGTGGCGTGAGGATGCGGCATGAGGGTGTGGCATGAGCGTGTGGCGTGAGGGTGCGGCATGAGGGTGTTGCATGAGGGTGTGGCATGAGGGTGTGGCGTGAGGGTGTGGCGTGAGGGTGCGGCATAAGGGTGTGGCATGAGGGTGCGGCATGAGGGTGCGGCGTGAGGGTGTGGCGTGAGGGTGAGGCGTGAGGGTTTGGCGTGAGGGTGAGGCATGAGGGTGTGGCATGAGGGTGTGGCGTGAGGGTGTGGCACGAGGGTGTGGCATGAGGGTGTCGCGTGAGGGTGTGGCACGAGGGTGCGGCATGAGGGTGCGGCATGAAGGTGAGGCGTGAGGGTGCGGCATGAGGGTGTGGCGTGAGGGTTTGACATGAGGGTGAGGCGTGAGGGTGCGGCAAGAGGGTGTGGCATGAGGGTGCGGCGTGAGGGTGTGGCGTGAGGGTGAGGCGTGAGGGTTTGGCGTGAGGGTGAGGCATGAGGGTGTGGCATGAGGGTGTGGCGTGAGGGTGTGGCACGAGGGTGTGGCATGAGGGTGTCGCGTGAGGGTGTGGCACGAGGGTGCGGCATGAGGGTGCGGCATGAAGGTGAGGCGTGAGGGTGCGGCATGAGGGTGTGGCGTGAGGGTTTGACATGTGGGTGAGGCGTGAGGGTGCGGCAAGAGGGTGTGGCGTGAGGGTGCGGCATGAGGGTGCGGCATGAGGGTGAGGCATGAGGGTGTGGCATGAGTGTGATGCATGAGGGTGTGGTGTGAGGGTGCGGCGTGAGGGTGTGGCATGAGGGTGCGGCATGAGGGTGCGGCATGAGGGTGTGGCGTGAGGGTGAGGCGTGAGGGTGTGGCATGAGGGTGTGGCGTGAGGGTGTGGCGTGAGGGTGTGGCATGAGGGTGTGGCATGAGGGTGTGGCGTGAGGGTGTGGCGTGAGGGTGTGGCGTGAGGGTGCGGCATGAGGGTGCGGCATGAGGGTGTGGCGTGAGGGTGTGGTATGAGGGTGTGGCGTGAGGGTGTGGCATGAGGGTGCGGCATGAGGGTGTGGCATGAGGGTGTGGCGTGAGGGTGCGGCATGAGGGTGAGGCGTGAGGGTGTGGCATGAGGGTGTGGCATGAGGGTGCGGCATGAGGGTGCGGCATGAGGGTGTGGCGTGAGGGTGAGGCGTGAGGGTGTGGCATGAGGGTGTGGCATGAGGTCGTGGCGTGAGGGTGTGGCGTGAGGGTGTGGCGTGAGGGTGCGGCATGAGGGTGCGGCATGAGGGTGTGGCGTGAGGGTGTGGTATGAGGGTGTGGCATGAGGGTGTGGCATGAGGGTGCGGCATGAGGGTGTGGCATGAGGGTGTGGCGTGAGGGTGCGGCATGAGGGTGAGGCGTGAGGGTGTGGCATGAGGGTGTGGCATGAGGGTGTGGCGTGAGGGTGTGGCATCAGGGTGTGGCATCAGGGTGTGGCGTGATGGTGTGGCATGAGGGTGTGGCATGAGGGTGTGGCGTGAGGGTGTGGCGTGAGGGTGAGGCGTGAGGGTAGACATGAGCAACATCTCGAACACCTGTTCGATTCGCCTCGAACATGTTCGAGGCGAACCGAACTAATTTTTTTTTAGAAAATAATAGTTCGGGGCGAACATGTTCGCCGTTCGCCACCTCCATTTGGTGGAGTGTGGACGAACACGAATATGTTCGTGTTCGTTTTGTGGTTGACGCGAACACCAAAGTGTTCGCGTCAAATTTGGCCGCGAACACCAAAGTGTTCGCGTCAAATTTGGCCGCGACCAAATTTAGGTCGCGGCCAATTTGAGTTTGAGCTCATTTTTTGAGCTCAAACTCAAAACGTCTTTGTTGGTTAGCCCTCCCTCCCTCAACCACCATAGGCTTCATCCTTTTAAGAGCCACCGCACACCGTTCCCTAAGTATTACACGAACATTTCAACTAAGTAGTTCGTAGTAGTGTAGGGGAATTTCAGAAATCGCGAGGGGTTAGTTCGTAGTAGCTACGGGATCAATTTCGCGCAGGTCAATTCTCTAGTTGTATTTTAGGGGTGGGCATTTCTCCGTGCCACACGTAACTAGGAGTTCAATTAGGACCGTGCTATCCGTGGGCCACGGATATGAGCAACGAACCGAACTTAGGTTCGGTTCGAGATGTTCGGTTCGACTTATGTCGAACCGAACTTTTTTTCCTGCCAAAAAGGTTTGCGCAAACCTTGCTGAAGTTCGCGCGAACTTTTTTGGTTCGAGATTCAAACCTGTGAGGGGTTCGAATTTGATTCCCGCCAGAAAAGACCCGTCAAAAACGGGTTTAGGGTGCCATTTGAAGGCGAATTTTAGGGTGCCATTTGAAGGCGAATTTTAGGGTGCCATTTGAAGGCGAATTTTAGGGTGCCATTTGAAGGCGAATTTTAGGGTGCCATTTGAAGGCGAATTTTAGGGTGCCATTTGAAGGCGAATTTTAGGGTGCCATTTGAAGGCGAATTTTAGGGTGCCATTTGAAGGCGAATTTTAGGGTGCCATTTGAAGGCGAATTTTAGGGTGCCATTTGAAGGCGAATTTTAGGGTGCCATTTGAAGGCGAATTTTAGGGTGCCATTTGAAGGCGAATTTTAGGGTGCCATTTGAAGGCGAATTTTAGGGTGCCATTTGAAGGCGAATTTTAGGGTGCCATTTGAAGGCGAATTTTAGGGTGCCATTTGAAGGCGAATTTTAGGGTGCCATTTGAAGGCGAATTTTAGGGTGCCATTTGAAGGCTGCCAACCCTAGACTCGTAGCAGAGCAGAGTAGATCTCCTCTAGATCTAGATAAACTCTTGCTCACCCATGGTTCCCCACTACCATACTAGATGTGTCAAACGTTAACTCGTTATGTTTGACAGATTAGTGACGCCTATTTATTTTCCAGAGAATAGGGTTAGCTTACTGTTTTTTATTTTTTTACCACAGAGTGCAGTCATTCCGTTTTTTAAGTTAAGGGCCCAGCATACCGTTTTTAAAGGAGGGTTGGAACAGCTACCATGTCGAGTTATGGCCAGCCCCGCAACGGCGCTGTCAGGGAGCACCAAGAGGGGGTGACCGACCGTGGGCGGCACGATTCTCACACGCCTGGTCCACTGGCCATGTTTGGGGAAGATTCATTGGGACTCCCTGGGTCGGTTCGCACCTTCAGGGTGGGAACGGAGCTGCGGGGAGTGCGCTCTAATTCCCGTGTGGAGGGGGCTGCGGTAGGGGATGACGAGGGTGATGCGGAGGAGGATGAGGAGGAGGAGGAGGAGGAGGAGGAGGGGGACGGGGAGGGGGAGGGGGAGGAGGAGGAGGAGGAGGAGGAGGAGGAGGAGGAGCACGTGGAGTACGGTCGGGTAGGGGAGCGTGGGGATGAGCAGGATGAATCAGGCAGTGGCGAAGGAAGTGAGCGCGCATACACTCCTACCGATGAGGGGGGTGATGCGGCCGATGACAAGGACCACGAAATGGATTATTTGGAGGCGGAGGACGGTGGGGAGGAGGACGAGGAAGAGGGCGACGAGGAGGAGGAGGGCGTTGGCGAAAATGAGGGGAGGCGTACGCGTGGGGGGGGGTCGCCGCCAGCAAGGGGCGGCTAGTGGAGCAGGAAGGGGGCAGGCTGGTGGTGTTCGGAGTGGGCGTGTGGAGAAGAGGGGTCGCGGGAGGGGGAGGAGAGGTGGAGGTGCGACGGCGCGTTGTCGCACCTCCCGCGGTTCCCCGCCTGCAGAATCGGTGGACGGGGCTAGGCCTCGGCGACGGCAACGTGCTCCGGCCTCTGATTCGGATCTCGGCTTGACTGTCCACATGTTTGGCCCGAAGACAGAGGGACGGCGCAAGTGCAAGATGTGCCCAACTACGATTTCATGGCAGAACAGCACGACCACATCCGGCAAGCGACACTATTGGAACAAGCACCGTGCACATTTGGGTATCTGGGAGCACAGGTTCAACAACCAGCTTGTGGGTGAGGGTGAGACCTTTCCAGAGAAGGGGTATGAGGGCGTGCCAAATGGGGGGATTGATTGGCCGTATTGCACGCAGTGGCCAAACTTCCCTGGTGCGGGACGTCAGGGCGGCGTTCGCGGAAGGGGGGGTATGGAGCGGTTTGTGGGCCACCGGTTTAGCGTGCGCTCCTTGCGAGAGGCGGTCACCAAGATGGTGGTGACAGGCAACGTGCCTTTCCGCTTCGTGGAGTTGGAGGCGGTGAGTTTGTTGGTGACACTGTAAGGGTTTAGTATGCCTCGATGTCTTGCACTCTTCATGTATGACATGTCCATAAGTGCGCCGTGACACTTGACCACGAATCCTGTCTTTCCTCTTGATTGTCCCGCGCAGTTCCGCGAGTTGATGGTGCTGCTGAACCCGAACGTCGCGAACGTTCGAGTCCTTCCATCAAGGTGGACGGTTGCGCGAGACGTAGTTGTGTTTGCTGAGCGCGCAAGACTGGAGGCGATGGCTGATTTGGCACCACAGCCCGGGGAGCGCACCACGGGGGTTGCAATCTCCAGTGATATCTGGACCGGGGGGAACGGGAAGGCCTACTCGGTGGTAAAGGGCCACTTTGTGACACGAGATTGGAAGCTGAGGGAGGTGACGCTGGATTTCCGTGAGATGACAGGGCGACACGGGGGAGAGGAGATTGCGGACTTGGTGCTGGAGGTGGTGCGTGATTGGGACTTGGTGGACCGTTGTGTCGCCTTTGTGTGCGACAACGCGTCCAGCAACACCCGCGCCTTCCACCTCCTCTCGGGTGGTAGTTCTCGCCCTGCCATTTTCCGCCCAGGCATGCACGTCAGGTACGTCGCTTTGATACGCCTTGGATTCGTGTGCCATGAAGTCGTAATGGTTTATGTTGGGGTTACACCACTGCCGACATGTATGGTTGGTTGTGAACCGTCCTCCCCACCCATCCTCTCGCCCTACCTCAGGTGCACCGCGCACGTGCTGAACTTGGCGGTCCAGACAGCACTGAAGGTCCCCCTTGTGCGCAAGACCCTGCGTTTGGTGCGCGACGTTGCCATCTTTGTTGGTTACTCCCCCATCCGCACGGGGAACTTCCAGGCGGAGCAGGTGCGGGCGTACCCGGGTAGAGTGCCCTTGAAGCTGGTCCAGGACAGCCCTACTCGATGGGGGTCGACGTATGAGATGGCGGTCCGCTTCCTCGAGCTGCGCAGGGCGATCCACGTCCACTTCTACGACGACCAGGTACGACGGTGATAGTATCCTACCACATGCATGGCCATTGCTCCACAGTGTACGTGCTGCCTGCTTGTATTGATTATGATTTAAAGTGACACCCGAATCGATGGTCTCTACCCCAATGCCTCCTCCCTAAACCCCGACCCCAGGGCACGACGCCTAAGGAGCGGAAGCGCTTTAAAAAGCTCCGCCTCAAAGATCAGCACTGGGAGGCGCTTGAGGCGTTGAAGGTATTTCTTGCACCCTTCAACGCCGTCACTAAGTCGGCGGAGGGGTCGCTCTACCCGACCATCTCCATGGTCATTCCAAGCTACAACGATCTTCTTGACAGTTTGGAGGAGAAGCTCCATGGCAACCCGTCCCCGCTGATGAGGACGATGACCGTTGCCGCGCTGGGGCACTTGAAGAAGTACGTGTACGCCAGCAGCGACGACCTGCTCATCGCCACGTTCCTTGATCCAGCGATGAGGGAGGGGTACTTCGCTCTGGGCACGTTTGAGACTAGGCACCCAGAGCTGGTTCAGGGAGGGAGGGAGAGGCGGGCAACGGGCCCAGTGACGGTGGAGCAGATCCTGGAGCTGGTGCGCACACGTGTGACGGATTACCAGGCGCAGGCAGCTGCGAGAGCGCCGGTGTCTCCACCTGCTGCAGCAGCGCCAGCACCTGCTGCCAACATTGAGGGGGATGAGGCTATTGGCAGTAGGCGCCGCTTGATTGCGCGCGTATCTGCTTCACGTGCTGCAGGAGGGTCTAGGCAGTTGGGGGACGAGGTGGACAGATATGTGGGGCACGACGAGACTGGCGACCTATCCCCCCTCGAGTTCTGGCGCACAGTGAAGAACCTTGACACACTGCGAGCCATGGCCAGGGATTACTTGGCGATTCCCGCCACCTCGGCATCGTGCGAGCGAGCATTCTCACAGAGCAGGAACTTGATCACCTTCCAGCGCACACGCCTGAACACCGAGCGTGTGCGGTCGTGCATGACTCTGCGGTCTTGGTACGACACGCACCCTGGTGGTCGTATCGGCGATGGGGCAGATTCTGCCCGTGCTGCAGCAGCAGTGGACTTGGGGCTCGAGGGAGAGGAGGAATGCGAGGAGGAGGAGGAGGAGGAGGAGGAGGAGGAGGAGGAGGAGGAGGAGGGGGAGGAGGAGGGGGAGGGGGAGGCGACATATGCAGCGGGTGTGGGAGAGGGCCAGGGCTAGGGTGGGGTCGTGTGGATGGGTGGTGTCATCTCATGTTTGAAGTTTCCGTATACTTTCCTTGATTGGAGTGTCGTGACTGTTTTTTACCTCCTCATTTGCTTCTTTTTTCAGAACATGATGCTGTCCATAAACCATTAGACATGCATGTGTTGTAGTGTAACTTGTGCATCATTTTAACCCTCAAACCTTAAAAGGTTCGAGTTCGCTCAAACCTTCAAAGGTTTGAGCAAACCTTTAGGGTTCGCCATTGTATACTCAAACCTCAAACCTTAAAATTCTGAAAAAAGTTCGAGCAAACCTGTTCGGTTCGGTTCGACCAACATGCAAGGTTCGAAAAGGTTTGCTCAAACATGTTTGAGTTCGGTTCGTGCTCATATCTAGTGGCTTGCGACCGTTCCGTTCGGGTTTTAGGGTTTTAAGGCCGAGGGCGGATTTATGGCTTCCAGCCAACATGGATCTATAGAACGAGGTGCAGGCAGCGCTCAGGGCGGTACACCAGGTTCTCCACCACGACCTATGCAGGGGCGAGTAGGGGATGGACCTGCAGGAGCCGGCGCTTGTTTCGTCGGGGGGTTTCTTTCCGTAGCGGCGCCGACGTCCCGTCACTCGTTCCGTTACTCAGGCTCGCGACCTCCTCCTTCTGGGCAGACGCAGCCGGAGAGTGGCAGTGGGGAGGAGGATGAGGAGGAGGAGGGTGAGGGCGAGGAGGATGAGGACGATGAGGGGAGCGGGGATGACAGTGAGGCCGGGTGGGATCCCGAGACGCATGGCGGTGGGAAAGGGGGGGATGATGAGGAGGACCATGAGATGGATGGGTTGGAGTCAGAGGAGGTGGAGGAGGGGGTGGGAGAGGGTGGTGGAGGGGCGGCGACAGAGGCGGCCTCGCAGCATGTGGCTGAAGGAGGAGGGAGCGTGGGGGTTAAGGTGGGGAGAAAGCGGGCATCCATTGCGATGCCGAAGCGGAGGAAGAGGGCGAGCAAGTTGAGGGAGCGAGCATATCCCTGCACATTCACTGGGAAGCCCTTGGGCGAGGGTGTGGTCGCTCCGGAGTTCCTAGACGAGGACGGAGGTTCCGAGAGTAGTAAGGGGACTGTCAAGGGTAATAAGAAACCGGGGTGGCAAGTACAGATGTTCGGGCCTAAAGGGGCAGACGAGAAGCGTCAGTGCAAGATTTGCACTGACAGGATTTCGTGGAAGCAATCCACAACAACACCCGGCGAGCGGCACTTCGAGAGCTACCACACAGCGCACATGCACGTGTGGCATCACCGTTACCACACTCCGTCCGTTCACTTGCCTGAGGAGACGTTTCCTCGTGGGGGCTACAAGGGTGTGCCGGATGGCTACGTCGATGGGTGGCCGCATGCCAAGTCTTGGCCGCATCTCGCCAAGAAGAAAGGGACGGCGTCCGGTGGAGCTCGGGTCAGGCGGGATGGAGCGGTTCATGACAACCAAGCTGTCCACGGAGGAGCTACGGCAGGCGATCGCCAAGCTGGTGGTCACCTGCGACCTCCCCTTCCGCATCGTCGAGTTCGAGGCCGTGAGTGTCCCATGCCTGGAGTTTTGGCAGTATGTGGTTGACTATTTGATGCTTCTATTGTAATCCACCATTCACATATCCACCATTCACATATCCACCATTCACATGTCCACCATTCACATATCCACCATTCACATATCCACCATTCACATGTCCACCATTCACATGTCCACCATTCACATATCCACCATTCACATGTCCACCATTCACATATCCACCATTCACATGTCCACCATTCACATATCCACCATTCACATATCCACCATTCACATGTCCACCATTCACATATCCACCATTCACATGTCCACCATTCACATATCCACCATTCACATCTCCACCATTCACATATCCACCATTCACATATCCACGATTCACATATCCACCATTCACATATCCACCATTCACATATCCACCATTCACACATCCACCATTCACATATCCACCATTCACATGTCCACCATTCACATATCCACCATTCACATGTCCACCATTCACATATCCACCATTCACATATCCACCATTCACATGTCCACCATTCACATATCCACCATTCACATGTCCACCATTCGGATATCCACCATTCACAGTTGTCTCTACTCTGCCCTCCTCCAGTTTCGGGAGCTATTGATCCTGCTAAACCGCAACTGCGCGCAGAAGAACTTCATCCCCTCGCGGTGGACGGTATCCCGCGACACCGTGGTCTATGCAACAGCAGCTCTCCAGTCCGCCATTGCGGAGATGCTGGCGAAGGAGGGGGAGTTGGGGTGCAAGGTGTCGATCACCATCGACATGTGGACGGCACCCAACAACAAGGCATGGCTAGTGGTGACAGGTCACTGGATAGACGAGAACTTCCAGCTGCGCACAATGGTGCTTGAGTTCCGTGAGATGCTCGGGCGGCATGGGGGCAAGGAGATGGCGCAGGTGGTTGAGGAGACGATTGTGCAGTGGGGGTTGGAGGGGCGTTGTCTTGGTTTCACGTCAGACAACGCCTCTAGCAACGTTGCCACCTTCGGGCGGATGTCGGAGGAGGGTGGTGGTCAGTGCTTCTTTAGCTCGCGCATGCACTTCCGGTGAGTGTGGGAGTGTGCGTGGGTTGGGCGTGCGGGAGTGTGGGCATGTGTTTGCCTTTGTGGGTGTGTCGTTCCAGCATGGACAATTTGTAGTTGTATGGAGGGGTAGGCCAGTGCGGTTCGAGTTGTAGGTTGTGTGGGGTCTGGTTTGGTTTTGTGGCTAGCTCTAACCATGTGTCCTCCAACTTCCCCTTATCTCTTTCCCTAATGTTGTGTTCCGTGCGCAGGTGCTTGGCACACGTGCTAAACCTTGCAGTGCAAGCAACACTGGCTGTGGATTCCATACGGAAGTTGCTGAAGATACTGAGAGAGATGGCGTCGTGGATTGGCTTCTCTCCACAGCGCTCGGGGTCTTTCTTGGGCCTACAGCGGACCTTGAACTCGCAGGCCAACCCCGCCACGCCGAAGCCGGCGTTGAAGCTGGTGCAGGACAGTCCTACGCGCTGGGGGTCGACCCACGACATGGTCGAGCGTGCGGGTGTTCTGCAGAACCCCATCACTGTCTTCTTCGCCCAGACACAGGTAACACTTGTGTTTTGTGTGGGTTGTAGTGTGTGGTTATGTCATGGTGTGGTGTGTTAACACGTCTACACAATACTGTTGGTCATGCTTGTATGTTGCCGGCCGGATGCCATAATCCTCCTCCATAATCACAGTTTCCCTCATACCTCCCCCCAAACCATTCCCTCTACCCGACAGGGCTTGTCGAAGACCGACAAGAAGAAGGTGGAGAGTTTGCGCCTGACAGACGCAGACTGGGAGACCCTGCAGGCGGTGAAGACATTCCTAAGCCCCTTCGCCAAGATCTCCAAGGCAGCAGAGGGGGCGGCGTACCCGATTGTGTCGATGGTGGTGCCGTACTACAACGGCCTGATCGACGCCATGGAGTCGCGCCTTGCCAAGGGGCCATCTCCGACGCTGCAGCCGATGATCGTGGCGGCGCTGAGCCACTTGAAGAAGTACGCCTACATCACCAGCAACGAGTACTGGATCGCCACCTTCTTGGACCCTTCCATGAAGGCGGCGTGGTTCGACGACGCGCACTGGGAGAAGCTGCATCCCGAGACAGACAGGAGGGTGAGGCCGCGTCCGGCGTCTGGCGAGGTGATCAAGCTGGTGCGCGACCGCGTGGCTGAGTACCAGGCCCGGGCTGCAGAGCTTGCTCCACGGCCGACCCCACTTGCCCCCGTTGCGGAGGAGGAGGAGGGAGACAAGGCGGAGGACGACGATGACGCGCAGTTTCTCCCTAGTCGCCGACGACTTGCGGCGCGTCTGTCGGCGAGCCAGGAGGCGGGGGCGGGTGGGATGGTGCAGGATGACGAGGTTAGCAGGTACTTGTCCGAGAGGGTGCGGTGCGACGTGACAGCGCTAGAGTACTGGCGCAGTGCCACCAACATGCAGACGCTGAGGCGAATGGCCCGGGATTATCTCGCCATCCCTGCCACGTCCGCTTCGAGTGAGCGGGTGTTCTCCCTTGGTCGCAACCTCATTTCCTGGAAGCGGCACTGCCTGGCCTCTCAGAGGACGCGAGCTGTCATGATTCTCAGATCATGGTACAGTTCACACCCTGGCCAGAGGATAGGCGAGGGCCGCCGACCGAGAGGCGTCGCACCACCAGAGTTCGCCATTGAGGGCGAGGGGGCAGAGGAGGATGACGAGGAGGAGGAGGAGGACGAGGGTGTGGAGGCTGACGACACAACTGGTGGAGAGGATGCTGTTGTTGGTAGTAGCAGTGGCGCCTTAGTGTAGGAATTTGTTAGACTTTGACATTTCCCTTCACAGTCTGTGATGTTGTACTATTGGGTTCGTTGCATGCACACATATACACCCTGCACACATTTTGCTATCATCCTGAACCTTGAAAATTGTTTTCTGACATGTGTGACTATAGTGAATTTTCCCCTGGGCGAACACGAACATGTTCGTCTCGACATGTTCGTGTTCGCCTGCTGAAAAAAATCGTTCGCCACCTAGGGCGAACGGCGAACACATATTTTCAGCTAAATAGTTCGCCGAACCGAACACTGTTCGGTTCGGAAAATGTACATGTTCGAGAGGGGGCGAACTCGAACATGTTCGAGTTCGCCCTCTGCTCATGCCTACGTGAGGGTGTGGCATGAGGGTGTGGCATGAGGGTGTGGCATGAGGGTGTGGTATGAGGGTGTGGCGTGAGGGTGTGGCATGAGGGTGCGGCATGAGGGTGTGGCATGAGGGTGTGGCATGAGGGTGTGGCGTGAGGGTGTGGCATGAGGGTGTGGCATCAGGGTGTGGCGTGATGGTGTGGCATGAGGGTGCGGTATGAGGGTGTGGCGTGAGGGTGTGGCGTGAGGGTGAGGCGTGAGGGTGTGGAATGAGGGTGTGGCATGAGGGTGTGGTATGAGGGTGTGGCGTAAGGGTGTGGCATGAGGGTGCGGCATGAGGGTGTGGCATGAGGGTGTGGCGTGAGGGTGCGGCATGAGGGTGAGGCGGGAGGGTGTGGCATGAGGGTGTGGCATGAGGGTGTGGCGTGAGGGTGTGGCATGAGGATGCGGCATGAGGGTGCGGCATGAGGGTGTGGCATGAGGGTGTGGCGTGAGGGTGCGGCATGAGGGTGCGGCATGAGGGTGAGGCGTGAGGGTGTGGCGTGAGGGTGTGGCATGAGGGTGTGGCATGAGGGTGTGGCGTGAGGGTGCGGCATGAGGGTGTGGCATGAGGGTGTGGCATGAGGGTGTGGCATGAGGGTGTGGTATGAGGGTGTGGCGTGAGGGTGTGGCATGAGGGTGCGGCATGAGGGTGTGGCATGAGGGTGTGGCATGAGGGTGTGGCGTGAGGGTGTGGCATGAGGGTGTGGCATCAGGGTGTGGCGTGATGGTGTGGCATGAGGGTGCGGCATGAGGGTGTGGCGTGAGGGTGTGGCGTGAGGGTGAGGCGTGAGGGTGTGGCATGAGGGTGTGGCATGAGGGTCTGGTATGAGGGTGTGGCGTAAGGGTGTGGCATGAGGGTGCGGCATGAGGGTGTGGCATGAGGGTGTGGCGTGAGGGTGCAGCATGAGGGTGAGGCGTGAGGGTGTGGTAGGGATGAGCAAAGGGCGAACACGAACATGTTCGTGTTCGCCCCTTCTCGAACACGCCCTTTTGCCGAACCGAACATTGTTCGGTTCGGCGAACAGTTTAGCCAAAAACAGGTGTTCGCTGTTCGCCTGTGGAGGCATGTTCGGGCGAACCTCGAACACGTTCGTGTTCGACACGGGGCGTTCTGCAGCAGCGCCACGAACACGAACGTGTTCGGGCGAACATCGAACACGTTCGGGCGAACGATTTAAGCTGAAAAACAAAAACTGTTCGGTTCGCCTCGAACACGTTCGAGGCGAACCGAACAGGTGTTCGCCACCTTGCTCAAGCCTAGGGTGTGGCATGAGGGTGTGGCATGAGGGTGTGGCGTGAGGGTGTGGCATGAGGATGCGGCATGAGGGTGCGGAATGAGGGTGTGGCATGAGGGTGTGGCGTGAGGGTGCGGCATGAGGGTGCGGCATGAGGGTGAGGCGTGAGGGTGTGGCGTGAGGGTGTGGCATGAGGGTGTGGCATGAGGGTGTGGCGTGAGGGTGCGGCATGAGGGTGTGGCATGAGGGTGTGGCATGAGGGTGTGGCGTGAGGGTGCGGCATGAGGATGCGGCATGAGGGTGCGGCATGAGGGTGTGGCATGAGGGTGTGGCGTGAGGGTGCGGCATGAGGGTGCGGCATGAGGGTGAGGCGTGAGGGTGTGGCGTGAGGGTGTGGCATGAGGGTGTGGCATGAGGGTGTGGCGTGAGGGTGCGGCATGAGGGTGTGGCATGAGGGTGTGGCATGAGGGTGTGGCGTGAGGGTGCGGCATGAGGATGCGGCATGAGGGTGTGGCATGAGGGTGTGGCGTGAGGGTGCGGCATGAGGGTGCGGCATGAGGGTGAGGCATGAGGGTGTGGCATGAGGGTGATGCATGAGGGTGTGGCGTGAGGGTGTGGCATGAGGGTGCGGCATGAGGGTGCGGCATGAGGGTGTGGCATGAGGGTGTGGCACGAGGGTGTGGCGTGAGGGTGTGGCGTGAGGGTGCGGCATGAGGGTGAGGCGTGAGGGTGTGGCATGAGGGTGTGGCATGAGGATGCGGCATGAGGGTGTGGCATGAGGGTGTGGCATGAGGGTGATGCATGAGGGTGTGGCGTGAGGGTGTGGCATGAGGGTGCGGCATGAGGGTGCGGCATGAGGGTGTGGCGTGAGGGTGAGGCGTGAGGGTGTGGCATGAGGGTGTGGCACGAGGGTGTGGCATGAGGGTGCGGTATGAGGGTGTGGCATGAGGGTGTTGCACGAGGGTGTGGCATGAGGGTGCGGCATGAGGGTGTGGCATGAGGGTGTGGCGTGAGGGTGCGGCATGAGGGTGAGGCGTGAGGGTGTGGCATGAGGGTGTGGCATGAGGGTGTGGCGTGAGGGTGTGGCATGAGGATGCGGCATGAGGGTGTGGCATGAGGGTGTGGCATGAGGGTGTGGCGTGAGGGTGCGGCATGAGGGTGCGGCATGAGGGTGCGGCATGAGGGTGTGGCATGAGGGTGATGCATGAGGGTGTGGCACGAGGGTGTGGCACGAGGGTGTGGCACGAGGGTGTGGCATGAGGGTGTGGCATGAGGGTGAGGCGTGAGGGTGTGGCATGAGCGTGTGGCGTGAGGGTGCGGCATGAGGGTGTGGCATGAGTGTGTGGCATGAGGGTGTGGCATGAGGGTGTGGCATGAGGGTGTGGCGTGAGGGTGTGGCATGAGGGTGTGGCATGAGTGCCCTTGCATGCACTGAGTGCCCTTGCATGCACTGAGTGCCCTTGCATGCACTGAGTGCATCTATTGGGGCGGAGAGGCAAGAGATGAGGGCAGTGAGAGGAGCACCTGCACATGGTCAGTCTCATTGACGACGGTTGCCACCAGCAGGTCGCCCCCCAGCAGGTACTGCCCCTCCCACCGCCCGCGCTCCGCCGCCTCATCCCCCTGCGCACACAGCGCCATGGGGCACATCACGGGCCGCCCCTCCGTGCTTGCCAGGCGGGCGGCGCGCAGCAGGTAGGGCGCGAGGGCGGTGTGCAGGCGGGCAAAGCGGCGGTAGATGCGCAGCGTGAGCGCGTCGTAGTCCCACGGGCCGTTGTTGGCCTGCCCGAACTGATGCATCAACGGGGACAGCGCGCTGAGGGGGGGAGCGGGGGAGGGGGGAGAGGGGGGAGGGAGAGGAGGAGGAGAAGACAAAACTTGGACTTTTGAGCGAACGCATGAAGAGGGAAATGGCGCTGGTTGGTGGGGCGAAGAGGGGCACAACAGGGTAAGTATGGGGAGGCCTTGTGGGGCAAACAGAGGAGGAGAGGAACAGAAGAAAACAAAGAGGAAATGTCATGTTTAAAGAGGTGAGTATGATGTGGTGCATGCATGGATTGGCGTGTCATGGATGGACGTGTCATGGATGGACGTGTCATGGATGGACGTGTCATGGATGGGCGTGTCATGGATGGGTGTGTCATGGAAGAAACTGATGATGACAGGCAATGACAGCACGCGTAAATGCGGTGCGGAGATAACTCTATCAACGGGAGTTAGACTACGGGCTAGGCACGGGGTAGGAGGGATTTCTGCATTCGTTCCCTTAGTCGCTCTCTAGCACTTGTGCGTTCACAGGGCAAAACCACAAGAGTTTCACTAGCAAAAGTTGAGAACAATGGTAGCAACTAGATGGGCAAGGTAGACTACATCAAAAGCCTAGCATACAAGTCGAACACCAGCTCAGCACGAAGACGACTTGCCAGCTGGTCGACCTCAGGCCTCCTCAGTCGACCTCAGTCGACCTGCAAGGCTGGCGTGCCAGCACACCAGCAACAGGCCACCATAAGTCACCACACGTGCTCTTGTGCGCGCACCTACTTCGCACGTGCAAGGTGATGGTAACAACATGCACCGCCACGCACATTGCGCAGGTGCCAAGTCGACCACATGTCGACGGTTGCACCTGAGGAGTCCTGTTGACCACGTGCCACCGAACCGCAGGTCGACATTGCCAATCTACTTGGGCGACAGTCGCGAACCTCGCAGACCTCGTCGTCTGGGTAGCCTGGTAAACCAGGCAACCATGTCGACCAGGTGTGTCATCCCAGCCCGTCGACCGCCCAAGTCGACGACCACCACATGTCGACCACACCAGGTGGACCACTCCCCTGGTCGACCAACTCTAGGTCGACAACCCACCTGGTCGACCAACTCCAGGTCGACCAGTACACCTGTCAGCACCCAGTCGGCTCCCCCTGGTCGGCGTCACCCAAGTCGACGCCCCCCACTGGTCGACCTCCCAGGTCGACCAGCCGAAGTTGGCGCCCTCCCAAAGTCGGCGCCCTTGTAGTGGCCCTTGTGCAGGTCGACCAGGCCCGTCGACCAGCTCGCCCACTGTTGCAGGTCGGCTGCACTCCTCACACCCGACCACGAGGTCGGCTCCGCCCAAGCGAGGACGGGGCCAACAACAACTCCCGTTGACACTCCCCTGCCGCGTTCACGCTTGGGCCCCCAGCCCAAACGACAGCACTACTTGGAGAATAGCTCGTCGGCGTGCACCCAACACACAGCACGCCGGTCACCGCACCAGCCATGCAAGAGGGCATGGCACCTACTGCTGCACGTCATTGTCACTGTCGCCCACGTCGACTAGGCGTACCTGACCGATTGCAACGGAGCACCGGTTGAAGGCCGGGTAGTGCAGCGCCTTCATCAGGAAGTCGGCTGGCTGCTAAGCGGTCGGGATGTACCTCAGTGAAAAATTCCCGCGCTTCACCATGTGCTGCAGCGAGGCTTATCGTCGCTCCATATGCTTGAGGTTGCCCGTCAACACCATGCCCTTGGCGACTGTGATGGCCGACTTGTTGTCCACCCGGAGGACAGTCGGCGTCTTCGCGTCTAGCTGCCGGAATTCTGCAAGGAGGAAGCGAAGGCGACGTCCCTCCATGCCGGCTTCGGTTGCAGCCACATACTCCGACTCGGTCGACGACAGCGTAGCGCACTTGATGTGCTGGCTCGACCAAGAGACGGTGGCCCCTCGAAAGACAAACACGTAGCCGCCCGTGCTCGTCCGGTTCTGCTTGTCGCCGGCGTCGTCGGCGTCCACGTAGCCGACCAGCTTCATCGACTCTGCTCCACCGCCGAACTCCAGGGCGGTGTCACGGGTGTTGGCGAGGTAGGCGAGGCAGCGGTCGACCTCGCGCCAGTGCTGGTCGCTCCTCACAGTGAGGCCGCTCCTCAGCTTGCTGCAGGCAAAGGCAATGTCCGGCCTAGTCGTCGTCGTCGCGAACTATAGCGAGCCGGCCTTCTGCCGGTTCTCCTCCTCTTGGCGCACCTGTGCCTCCTCGTCATCGAAGGTGAGTGTGGCATAGGCGTCGACCGAGATCGACGTCTTCGGGGTGCGCCCGTTCTGCTCCTCGTCGAGGAACCGCCTGCGCAGCTTGTCGGCGTAGCCTTGCTGGTGCAGCCACAGCTTCCTCACCGACCTGTCGCGCACGATCTCCAGCCCGACGTACTTCTGAACCAGCGAAATCTCCCGCTGCTCGAAGGCGGCCTCCAGCAGCTCCTTCAGCTCCTTCAGCATTGTTGCACTGCTGCTGGCGGCGAGCAAGTCGTCGACGTAGACCAGCACCCAGCAGGTCACCTTGTCGTCGCCGACTTTGAAGTAGAGCGCCGTGTCGACCTGGCTCTTCTTCCAGCCAGCGCCCAGCAGCACACTGTCGAGAGCCACCACAACAACGGCGACTGCTTCAGGCCGTAGAGGCTCTTCAGCAGCTTGCACACCCGGCCGGTCCCGTCGTTGAAGTAGTCCGGCTAGTACATGTACAGCACCCGGTCGAGCTTGCTCTGCAGAAAGGCGTTCTTTATGTCGAGCTGCATCAGGTTGAGGTCGAGGACGGCGACGATGCTGAGGAAGATCCTTAGAGTGACGTAGCTGCTCACCGGCGCATACGTCTCGTCGTAGTCGGCACCATACACCTGTGTGAAGCCCTTCACGACCAGCCTTGCCTTCTCTCGCTCGATGGTGTCGTCGATGTGGTACTTCGTCGTCAGTTCTTCATGATGTTCACTCCTCGCAGGCGTTCGACCAGCTCCCACGTCCCCATGCCGACGAGGCTGCGGATCTCCTCCTCCACGGCGGCCTTCACCGCCTTGCCCTTCCAGTTTGCCAACGCCTCTTTCACCGTCATCGTCGAGATGTCCCAACGGCGCTCGGGATCGGCGTGCATGTCGGGGTCGAGCTGCGGAAAGTCTTCGTCCTCCTCGACGTCGTCGTACAGCAGGTCGTCATCGACCTCGTCGTACGCCGTGCTGAAGGCAGTCGGTACGTAGAAGTCGGGCGGCCTCCGAATTTGGCCTGACTGCCGTGGTCCATGCTGGACCTCCACCACGTCACTGTCGGTGGACTCCTCGGCGTCCCCTCCATCGTCACCAGCTTCACTGCCCTCATCGTCCAGCTGCACCTCAGCCGGCTTCCTTGCCGACTTCTACCCTGTCGGCTCCTCTGCCGACTGCCTGGTTGCGGACTGCTTCTTGGTCGGCTTGGCTGCTGCCTGCTCCCCTGTCAGCTGCTGCCTTGTTCCTGCCTCCTTTGCCGACTACACCACCGTCGGCTGCACTTCCTCGGCCTGTTCATCCCCTGGCGGCGTCGACTTCACTCTCACGTCGACTTGCTGGATGCCACGTCGGCCACCGTCGATGCTCTTGGCCGGCGCCACAGGCGACGCCCCACTTCTCCCCTCATCGCCGGAGGCCGACACAGGAGTCAGCCCACGCAGGTCGGCCACAAGGGGAGGGGCACGGGGGGCAGGGGAGGTGAAGGGAGAGGGACATCCTCGACGTCCTCAGCAGCAGGCTCACCGACTTCGGCGAGCAGAGGGAGTGTCGCCGTCGAGGTGTCCGTCGGCGGGATGGTCGGTGTCCGGCCCGACGTCGGCCAGTGCTCCGACTTCCACATCTCTAGCGACATGTTCTCGTAGAACACCACGTCCGACGTGGTGACTACCCGGTTGTCGGCGATGTCGAGGAGCTCCCTGCCCTTGCTCTCCTCCGAAACGCTGAGGTGAAGGCCCCACCTGGCCTTCGGCTGCAGCTTTCCACCACGCTGCTGCTCGGAGACCAAGAACTGCGCCATGCAGCCCCATACCCGTGCCAGCGACAAGTCACGCTTCTTCCCGGTCAGCAGTTGGTATCGCGTCGTCCCCGGCTGCAGCGTCGACCGCTCCAGGCAGTTGCGGACCCAGACGGCCTGCCGCACAGCGAGGTGCCACCATTGGTGCTGCACGCCCATGTGCAGTAGCATCCTTCGCACCGAGTCCACCACCGTCCTCATCTCGCTCTCCGCCATGCCGTTCTGCTGCGGGGTGTAGGGGCAGGTCAGGTCGTGGACGATCCCCTTGCCGTTCACAAAGTCCGTGAACTGCTTCCCGAGGAACTCCCCTCCCCGGTCAGAGCGCAGCATCAACACCGACTTCTTCGTCTGCCGCTCAGTCACCGCCAGCCACTGCATGAACCCATGTAGCGCATCCGACTTCTTGGCGACCGGCCTCACCCACACGTAGCGGGTCTTGCGGTCCTTCATAAGCAAGAAGTACAGACTGCCATCCTTGGCAGCCACCTGGAATGGCCCGCACAGGTCGACGTGCACGACGGCCAACACGTCGTCGGCGTCGGAGCCCTGGTCGGGGAAGGTGTGCCGCGCCAGCTTCCTGCCGACGCACGAGACACACGGCAAGTCGGCGCCAGACGCCGACTTGAGGTCCAGCCCAGTGGCAACCTCGTGCTTTGCGGAGCTCCGGATGGTGTTCACGCCGACGTGTGCAAGCCTCGCATGCAGCCTGTCCGGCGTCGACTTTGTCGCCGAGACGATCGCCCGCAGGGCCACGACCTTCTTCGTGGGCGTTGTCGACTTCGCCGAGCAGGGACGCAGTTCGGTGCAGAGGACTCGCCAGGTGTAGGATGCACGACCGAGGACGTCTTCCGCCGCCGAGATGAGCAACATCTCGTCGCTGTCCTCTTGCAGCTTCACACCGTTCTCCTTTAAAGCAGGTTCGCTCGCACGCCTGGACATAGAGCACGTCGGGGATGAGCACTTGCCTCCCGGCCTCCCCTTGCAGAGCGACAGTGCCGCGGCCCTGGACGTCCTGCATCGCT